AATGCAGCCTGCAACCAGGAACCAGTATCAGCCGTTTTAAAATATTACACACATTCCCTTTTTCCCAGACTGCAATAAGGGACTGTAATTCTGCACATACTACCAGGATACTGGTTCATACAGAATCACTACCATCAGGAAGGAAATTTCCTCATGCTGGATAAATAATGATCTGAAAACACTCAATCCTGACATTCTGCTTCCAAGTTCTCTTCCTGCTTCCCTCAATGATTCTTCCCCTTTTCTTTTCTTTCCTTGAACATGTTCTCTCTCCACTATGACTTCCTTACAGCACTTGGCAATAGATCACAACACTGATGTAATGACCTCTGGAAACAATCATTAAATTATTGGCAAACAATCATTATAGTATTCTACAAGCATGACTAAGCTGTTTCTGCTACTAGTGTATGCTTTTTCTGTTCTTTTTCACAAGCAGTTGGCACCATCCCAAAAGGAGGTATTACAATATATCCTTCTTAGTGAACACAAAACTCTATAAACTTATACATCAGCAGTGGGATGCCCACAGAATGGCTACGAGATGCAGCTGTGATCCTAGAATAACGGAACACTATGGATGTGGAAACATCCTTGCCTCCACTCGTGAATAAGAGCTCCCTGTATCTCTCAAACTTGGTAGGGCCAGTGAAACTCACATTGTGTTTTGTTACTCACTTCCTGCTCACTCCTGTAACATGCAGAGTTCCTAAGACTTGACACCTATTTCAGCATACCCTGGCCTAACAGGATGCAATTAAATTGAAATGGGATTTAAACATCATGTACTGTGTTCCTTTGGAAGGAGGGTACTAAGATAATACAGTTCTGCTGCCTGACTGAAAACAGCTAAGCAACCATTCTGTACAAATTCTACTGGAATTCCCCACTTTAATCTGTATTTCATCCAGAGTATATAGCGTTTCTACTACTGCATAGTTCAAGTATTTCTATTTAAAATAAATACAGTTTTATTTTAACCACAGGTGATAGGTGTTTGGATGGTCTTTTGTACTATACAATACTGACCGAGTCTGAGATATCAAAAAAACCCGATTTAAAGCCACAAAGGAACACACACTGTTTCAAAACACTTCCTGTATTTTGGTCTCTATTTAACTAGAAAAAAAGAAAGCAATCACTATCACCAAAAATACCTCAGAACTAGGGCAGAAAAACAGTCTTGTAAGATTACACAGAGAGCTAGAGACCAGATGTCTACAAACCCATGATGCTTATCTGTAGCACATACCTCCCCTAACTGAAAGGGATGTTAGCATCTCTGTTTTGACAGGTCCCTGCTATGTTTTGAAGACTAAATCAAGCTTTACAAAGACCCCTTCTTTCATTGGTTGGTCACTGAAATACAGGTTAAGAAAGAAAAAGTGCTGCAGCTCTCAATTCCTCCAGGCCTCTCAGCTGTTACAACACTGTCCTTAAAAAAATACAATGCTGTTTTACACAAATGCCTCAACAGAAGGTAAAGCTAGGGAGATAAGAAATGCCCAACTGATTCAAGTCCACAGACCTCTTAGACTCCAGGCCATATTCAGCCTGGACAACAGCAATAAGAAAGGTCTGTAGGAATAATGTAACCGTGGCCACTGCCTGCGTGCTGTTCCTCTCCTACTTCTGCAGCAGACAGAACTGTTACATTAGGGATGTACCAAGGCACACCCTCTGCCTTGTCCTTTATATACATTATTTATGAACCTGATGTATACTGTCTAACCCTTCTCGTTGGAATCTGTTTGCTTCTACAACCTCCTGTAGCAACAGATTACTAAAATTCACTGTATATTTTTATAGCATTTTATCTGCTTTAAACTAATCTACTAATCTCAGACCATTAATTTGGTGTCAGCTCCCCCTCATCCATTACCTTCACAACCTCGTAACACGCAGTCATAAACCCACCCCTCTCAGTGACCATAATTACTGTCACTGAATTCCCTTGGATAAATATGCTGCTTTTCATATAGCTTTAGCCATCTGCACGTCACTCAATTAACAAAAATTAACATAAGAGCAACATTTTGCTTCAAGCTTAAGGAGCAAGTGACAAAGCCTATCTCTCACAGCGACTGTCTGGACGAAGAATTTGCCCGGGCCTTCGTTAGGCAGCTGTGCAACCCTCCAGAGAGACACGGAGGGAGCCAGTGCCACAACGGGGCAGGACGGAACACAGCTCCCTCACACAGCACGCACACGAACAGCCAGTTTTTCCATGTGATCAGCTAACACGGTGTCAGGCAGCAGCTCCGTTTCCGCTCCCCCCCCACTCCCCTCTCCAAAGCCACTTAATGTGTAATTCCTCATAAAATGGACCTAAAGGGCGGATGGGGTAGAACCAGCCCCAACCAGGTATGCGAGAGCCCGAGAGCTGCGAAGCAGAGGGGCTGGCGGGGCGGGAAGCGGCCGCCTCACTTCCTCACATACGCGGGTGCCGCCGAAACGAAAGGCGCTGCGGGAAGGAAGGAGCCGGCCTGGCCCGCACCCCCAGCTTAAAGCACTCATTGATAGCAACTCAAAGGTCGCTGTTATTAAATAAAAAGTAACGAAGGCCGTGCACCGTCCTCCTTCCTAGGGGCAGCGTCCTCCTTTCCTAGGGGCAGCCACCTGAGGGGCCATTCACCTCCCCTCTGAGCCCGGGCACCCCGAGCGGACACGCGAGCCACCCGCTGTGCCAGGAGGCGAAAGGACTCACCGCCGCACGGAGGAGCTCCGCCAGGCCGGCCAGCGGGAGCAGCAGCCGCAGCATGACGGCAGCGAGCGGGAAGCGAAGCACTCGGCGGCGTTCGGCCTCGGCGCACGGCGCCGTCAGCTGACTGAACCCGGTCCCCGCTTGCTCCGCCCCGCGGCTTGAAGGGGCCGGACCGGGAAGGGAAGGGGCGGCCGCGAGCCGCTGCGCCTGAGTAGGGAAAGTGCGGCAGAGGGGCGCGGGCCGGCCGGAGGTGGGGGGTATTCCCAGCTGAAAAGGTGCAAAGAGAAAAGAAAATGCAGAGCCTCCGTGCGCCTTTGGAGACAGCAGCGCCAAAGCAAAAATAGAAGCCTACGACACTCGGTATTCCCAGGCAGTCTCCCATCCAAGTACTAACCGAGCCCGACCCTGCTTAGCTTCCGAGATCAGACGAGATCGGGCGTTTCCAGGGTGGTATGGCCGTAGGCACTAGAGGAGCTTCTCCAGCTGGTTTTAAGGTGCACATCGCTACGTTTCAGTGACAGGCCTATCTCCGTTCTTCCTCTGCTCTGCGGCAGCCACCCTCCCATTGCCACGTTTGCCTCCATCTTGCTCTACCCACATCTTATAAACTTCACCTGCTTTGGACAGCACAAAGAACTCTTTAAGCAGCAGTATGATAAGTGTACCTAATTTCACTTCCCTCAGCTTTCCCTTCAACACAGCTGCCAAATCCCCCAAAAGATTGTCTCTTCTCTAAACCTATTCCTATGTTTCAGCCACCCCAAACCCTCTGCAGGTTTCATGAGCATGAGTGAGCACAACATACTGTCCAGCTGAGCAGGCATCTTCTTACCACAGAATATATAAAGGCTGAAAAAGACCTCTACCACCATCTACTCCAACCATCAGCCCATCATCACCATGACTGATAGCTGTATCCCTCCGTGCCACATCCACATGGTTCTTCTACATCTCCAGGGACGGTGACTCCACCACTTCCCTGGGCAGCCTGTCCCACCACCTCACCAACACTTCCAAGAAGAAAAGTTTCCTCATATCCAACCTCAACCTCCCCTGGCACAACCTGATGCCATTCCTTCCCCTCCTATCACTGCTACCTGGGAGAACAGGTTGACCCCTACTTCACCACAACCTGCTTCCAGGTGGTTGTAGAGATCAAACAGGTCCCCCCTGAGCCTTCTCATCTCCAGACTGAACAATCCCTGTTCCATCACCTGCTCCCTGAAAGACTTGTGCTCCAGACCCTTCATAACATTGTTGCCCTTCTGTGTACCTGCTCCAGGGCCTCAATGTTCTTCTTGCAGTGAGGGGCCCCAGACTGAACACTCACCAGGGCTGAGTACAGGGGACAATCACCTTCCTGGACCCACTGGTCACACTTTTGATATAAGCCAGGATGCCATTGGTCTTTCTGGCCTCCTGGTACACTGCTGGCTCATGTTCAGCTGGCTGCCAACTAACACCCCCAGATCCTTTCCTTCTGTGCAGCATCCAGCCGCTTTGCACCTACTCCATCTTCATGTCACTTTCCCCACGCTCACACCTCCTGGAACACCTGCAAGCACACACAAGCTCTATCGGGCCCAGGGATGTGCCCCAGTGCCTGAGGGCTTGAGGAAGACCCTGTTGCTCTAACTGGGCAAAAAGGCCACGCTGCCTACACCCACCTTCACCTGTCCCAGCCTGCATTCCTGCACAGAAGCACTAGCATTAGTGTACTGTGATGCTGCTGGCACCAAATGGAGATGGCCTTACATCTGTTAGCACCATGCAGCCAATTTCCATGTTGTGTATGGATGACAGGGAGACGATAGAGAGGAGAGGGACAAGAGGGAATGGCCTTAAGTTGCACCAGGGGAGGTTTGCATTGGATATGAGGAAAAAATAATTCTCTGAAAGAGCAGTGAGGCGCTGGGACAGGCTGCCTAAGGAAATGAATGGAGTCACTGTCCTTAAAGGTGTTCAAGAAACATGTGGATGTGGCACTCAAGGACACAGTGGTGGTGGTGGCCTGACGCTTGGACTCGAAGATCTTAGCAGTCATTTCCAATCTTCACGATTCTGAGAAAAATAGAAAAGTCCTCAGGCCTTCAGAACGCGCAGATTCCAAACAGCTTCCCATCCGTGCGCCAACCGGCCCCAGCCCTGCTTAGCTTCCGAGACCGGGCTGTTCCTCCCTCCCACACGCGGTCCCGCCCGGCCGCGCAGCCCCCCGCCCCCGGCCCGCCCCACCCGGCCCCGTCGCTGCGCTCCGTCTCTCCCCGCCGAGGCGACGTGGTGCCGGCCGGGCCCGAAGCGCAACGATGTGGCGGGCGCTGCTGGCGGCGCTTGTGGCGACGGCGGTCGCGCAGTTCGAGCGGTACAGCTTCCGTAGCTTCCCGCGGGACGAGCTGATGCCGCTGGAATCCGCCTACCGCTACGGCCTGGACCAGTACAGCACGGAGAACTGGCCCGAGAGCGTCAGCTACCTGGAGGTGAGCGTGCGGCTGTACCGCCTGCTGCGCGACAGCGAGGCCTTCTGCCACCACAACTGCAGCTCCGCCGTGCCGCCCGCCGCCCCGCCGCCCGCCGATGGGGAGCTGGCCGAGCTGCGCCTGCTGGCCGGGGTGCTGCGGCGGGCGCAGTGCCTGCGGCGCTGCAAGCAGGGGCTGCCCGCCTTCCGCCAGGCCCAGCCCGGCCGCGAGCTGCTCGAAGAGTTCCAGCGCCGCGAGCCCTACAAGTACCTGCAGTTCGCCTACTTCAAGGTGAGGCCCGGCCCTGCGCCGCCCCGGCTTCCTCTCCGCCTTCACACCTGCCTCGTGCCACCGCTGTCACACGCCTGCGTGTCCACGTAGCGCTGCCCAGCTCCTTCCTCCCCACTCATCCTGCGCAGCCCTGCTTTAACCTCCGGTTCTCATCAAGACGAGCTATTGGACTGCCTCCTTATCCCAGTGCCATGCTGTTCCTACCCCCAGCTATCCAGTCTTCCCACCTGCATTACTTTCTTATGACTTAGTTTAAAACCTACCTCAGACCTTTTCAGTCTCCACTGTGCTATTGTGAGCACTCATTTCTGCTTCCTGTCCTCCAGCATGTCCAGGTTTCTCGCTCAGTCCCTGCTAGTCCCATTCTTGCAGTCACAGCAGCCCCCAGCATGTAGCTTGCACAGTGTCTGCGCTGCTTTGGCATTGTTACATCCAAAGGAAGGCATAAAGCAAAACTGTTGAAGGGTCGGAAGCACAAATCTTATGAAGAATGGCTGAGGAAACTGGAATTGTTCAGTCTGGAGATGAGGAGGCTCGGGAGAACTGTGTGATCTCTACAACCACCTGAAAGCAGGTTGTGGTGAAGTGGGGGTCAACTTCCTCCAGGTAACAGTGATAAGATGGGAGGGAATGGTGTCAGGTTGTTCCAGGGGAGGTTGAAGTTGGATATGAGGAAACTTTTCTTCTTGGAAGTGTTGGTGAGGTGGTGGGACAGGCCCAGGGAAGTGGTGGAGTCACCGTCCCTGGAGATGTAGAAGAACCGTGTGGATGTGGCACTGAGGGATGTGGTTATCAGTCGTAGTGATGATGGGCTGATGGTTGGACTAGATGATGGTTGAGGTCTTTCCCAACCTTAATGATTCTATAGATTTTATAGAAGTGGCTGCTGGAGTGTCGCACTAATGCCAGTCCTGGAATATTATTTGCCTTTTGCTCTTGGGCCAACCAGGACTGTGAGCACCACTTCCACCACATTCATTCTTGTTTCTCTAGCTTCTTGTCATCCTCCTGGATGACAAGATCCACCAGGATCTATTTCACTATTCTATTTCTATTTTCCCACTCCACATTTTCATTTTTTGTTCTCTAAACCAGGGCCCTCATTCCATTCCCTCAAATTTGCTGTCACTTGCATTCCAAATAAATGCAGTATCTGTGAGGAAAGAAAACAAGCTGACCTCTTTTGTTTAGACGGATTGCCATTTCTTTTAGGGATTTGGTCCTGGTGTAGCCCAGTATTCATTATATGAGATTGTGTGCTTGTGCATTCCTTCTGCGACCTTTGCTTAAAACATACACATCTTTGTAACTGTTGCTATGTCATATTTGTAGGAATGTCTTTCCCATATGGAAATTTGAAATTATTTTCACAAGTTATATAAACCAAAGCAGGGAAACAGTCTCACAGAACACCAGTGATCAGTATCCATACACACGTAGTATCACACGATGAGCAGCATCACACCAGCCTAGTTCTGAGCATTTGAAGCTACCCCAAAGGCTGTACAGAAGAACTTACCTTAGTATGCTTTAGTTTCTTCATATGGAAAGTAGAAGGTACCAGATGAGACATTTCTTTTGAATGGCAGGCACTGCTAACTCTCAAAGCCGTATACCAAAATGACACCACCACAAATGTTTCCATTTATTGTCTTTCTTTATTTGTTCCCCCTGTAGTACATACAAACGTGGCTATGATTGCACCACATCAGGAACGGTCATGGAGCAAAAAACAATTCCTATATACTGTTTCTGACATGTGAATGATTTGAATATGAGTGTGCCTTTAAGCTGTTTTCCAGCCCCATTTGCAGTAGGTTTGTGAACAGCAGTTTGGTGTATCTCTGATCAGTGCTGTCATTTATATTGCCTTTGTTTTTATACTGTAGTCCAGCTTTGAGCTTTCATCACTCACTTGGAGAGCTCTGAATGGGCCTTCTAAAAATACAAACTGCTGCCTGCAGAGGACTTTTTCTTGGCTGGTGGTTTTCTGAAGAAGGGTGTGTCGCTTTTTTCCTTCTTCCATAATATCACATATAATACAGAAATAAGGCATAAAGAAACACTCTATGGATTTTTTTTTTTTTTTTTTTTTTTTTTTTTTGAGTGAGCACGTATTTATTCAGGTGGGTTCAGGAGTGAAATTTTGCCACGTCTTAGATGATCCTGGGAGCACATGTTCCTGTGCTGCTTTTGCTCCTCTGGAGGGAGCTGCCTGGTAGCCACTGAGTTTACATAGGAATGTGTTTCTACACGGCTTTCTTTTTTCCCCCTCACTCACTTTCTTTTTTTAGCATGAAAGTTACAATCAAGAGTAAATCATGTACCAAGCGAAAATGGGAGATTGGCAAGCTTCCCAGCAAATAGGGTTAAAGCATTAAGCATGGGAGAACTCGGGCATTTGGTGAAAGTGCTTTCCCCGCGCATTCAGCAGCATGTGGGCTGGCTAGAAGTGCATAGTTTGGGGACAGCAGGAAATGCAGCTGGCGTGATCCCATTGCATTGGTACTTACGCAGCACAGCAGTGAGCGCTCATCTTAGGGTCAGAGCATTTCTTCTGGTGTGACAGTCTCTCAGGTTTCCTCTGAAATGAAAAGCTGCCTTTTACGGATGCAAATGGATGAGTGTGTATGCATACATGCTTGTAATTCTTGCTCATGGTTTTATATATACACTGCCATAAGCCATTTCAGATGTTTAATGGAACTCAGTAGCACCTATGCTGGATGGACTGATCTGGATCTCAGCTTACAAGAGAGAAGTGCTTAACATTTCACTAGTACTTAGGCTTTTGCTTCCACTGTCACTCTCTATATAAATGTGTATATGATATGTATTTGGAAAGTTATGCTTACATAAAATATTAAAAATACACATACAAATGTAGATGTAAATATGTATATGAGTAATGTATACTTCTGATACAGGGGTTAAATTTAGTTTAAAATCCAGTATAAAAAAAAAATCATGTAGTACATTAGAACAGTTATTGAACAAGTACCTGCTGTTTAACTTCATAACAGCACCAGGATGGTATATTATCATAGCAATGTCTCGCATGCTGCTAGACAAATAGGCTACATAAACACCACAGAGAGGAGGTAAGTGATGATTCCATACTTGAGCATCAGTAATTGCTGTGTGATTAATCCTACACATAAGTAACAAAATAATTTTATGCATCGTTAGCTTTATGAGCAGAGAAGTGAGAAGGGCAGAAGTGTTCTTTTAACTTACAATCATTTATACTATTTGCAACAATAACAGCCTTTAAAAAAAAAAATAAAAATAAAATGAAGTGTTCATAGCGGTGCAGCTAGTAGTAAGCTGAGAAGTATTGTATCAGCTTCACTGTACCACTGTCTCTGCTGAGAATGTGTTTTTAGCACTGGTAAGCTTGCAAATACAGATCCTGCAGGAATCTTATTTTTTTTTCTCCCCCTCCCCCCCTTCTCCCCCTATTTTCATGTTTAGGCTAATAACCTTCCAAAAGCTATTGCAGCAGCTCACACGTTTCTTCTGAAGCATCCAGATGATGAAATGATGCAAAGAAATATGGCCTACTATAAGAGCATACCTGATGCTGAGGAGCACATTAAAGACTTGGAGACAAAGCCTTATGAGGTGTGTTTATTCCCAGTTCAGTCTTTTGGAACCATTCCATTACTGCATGAGATTTGAAGATGTAATTTACTTACACGTTCTCAGCTCCTACCTCTCCTTTTTTTATCTTGTTAGATACTTCAGACATCTCTGTTCCTCTTTTTTAATGCCTGCAATAATTCTTACATCATTTGCTTTTCACTGTTCCATAAGTCACAGCAAATGATGTGGAGTGGCATATTTGAAAGCTACTATGTGCAGATAGCTAATGGAATTAAGCAAGTACATGGAGTTACTCAAATGCTGCGAGTGCTGCAGAGGTACAGCTTAAAATTGTGGGGTTTTTTTTGTTTGTTTTGTTTTTTTTTTGATGTTAAGACTGCTGAAAATCACCATCTCAAAACATGCTCTTTGGAATCACACTTTTTTCCAGCAGGCTTTTCCAGTTTGTCTAAAATGGAGCTACATACTCAACTATGTAGGAAATATCTGATAAAATCTGTTCATCATCTGTTTCATGTTAATAGGATAACAGCTTATCTAGTAATTCAGAAATGCTGAGATACCATTTACTGTATTTGAACTTACACACAGCTTTCCACAGGTCACTTACTGGTAGTTCATTCCTGCCGATTTTTCAGAATCTCTTTGTCAGGGCTGTGAGAGCATACAATGGTGACAACTGGAGAACATCCATCTCAGATATGGAACTGGCTCTTCCTGATTTCTTCAAAGCCTACGATGACTGTATAGCAGCCTGTGAAGGCTCCCGAGAGATTAAAGATTTTAAAGACTTCTATCTCTCCATTGCAGGTGAGTACTTAGGAAACAGTCAAGAAAGAAGTCCTGAAAGTATATTCAGTTTCATCTATAGGATCAGCTACCTAAGTCCTCCTTCCTTAGTTTGCAATGGAAGCTGCTCATGGTGCCCCCTGTTTAGTTTGGGCCAATATTAGGTTATTAGATTCACTGAAAAGTGTTTGAATTGTGTTTTACTTTTCTGCTTAGTAATATAAGTGAGTGTTGTCAGAAAATTGAAACAGAGTTCTTACATTAACTTGGAAATCAAGAGTGTCAGGATAACACACACATGTAAGTAACACCTGTTCCAGCCAGCTAGCAACTGCTAAGCACACAGACCTCTTGACCATAATTTCAATATCAATTTGTCTCTGATGCTCAGCGATTAGTCTTCAAAATCTGCTTTGTGGTTTGTGTACCACTGCTGTAACATTTACGAAAAAAGTGTGCATCAAGTTTGTTAGTTATTTTTTATCTTTCCTTCAGTAAAAGGAAAGTTCTCTAGCAAATGAGATTTCCTAAGAGCATAGCTTAAAAAAAATATTGCTTTTTAATGAGAAAGCAGTGCCTCCTCTTCTAAGTGTCAGAATACCACATGCATATTTCCCGTGCACTTCTGTAATGAAAGAAGGCATTTCTCCAGTGCACTGAGCTGAGTGCTACTGACAGCGTATGTGTGAAGAATGCCTGCATGCTTTGTAAAGAAATTTAAAGAAAGGGCAGCTCCGTGATAGCTCATAGTAGTGAATATCTACCTGTACTGCTAATATGGAATAGCTACTACTTCCTCAAGCGTTACTTCAGCAAAGGTGGCAAGTGCCTAGAAAAGTAGATAAGGAGTGGAGGGAAATGAATAAACAGTTTATAATCAATGAATATACAGATGTTACAATTATGAAATATAAGAGAGTTTGGATAAGCAGGTTATTACACCAAAGAAAGAATAGATAGAGTGCTTACCCTTGTCCTGGGCTCACTGTAAAGCTCCAAAGGAGGGATCTCCAGAAGAGATCCTTCCCACCAGCAGTCAGCTCTTAAATGGGTCTGGGAGAGGTGCAGCCAGGCTCCAGCCCTTCCATCACACAGCTGAATTGCCTTCACCTGTGCTCCCATGGCTGACTCAGTGCTTGCCTCAGGTGGTCATCAGAGGTTCTTCAGGCCGTGATTCAGCAGTTCCCATACAACACTAAACCATGAAACACCCCCCGTGGTTTGGATCACCTCCAAACCACTGTAAAGGATGTCTGTATATTTGTCAGTGCTCATTTATGATTAGCACTTACTGTCAATGCTCTTCCTCCATGGAAGGAAGGAAAAGACTGTTCCAGCAATAGTGGTGAGACAGAAAGGTAGAAGTACTGCATGATGTGGGCAGTTTCAAATACTGTATGTATGTTCTGAAAATGGAATTCTTTGATGGAAGGCTTTCTTGGAAGATATTTTCTTGAATCACAGAATCACAGAATCGTAGGGGTTGGAAGGGACCTCCAGAGATCATCGAGTCCAACCCCCCTGCCAAAGCAGATTCCCTACACCAGGTTGCACAAGTAGGTGTTGTCCAAGCAGGTCTTGAACATCTCCAGAGAAGGAAACTCCACAACCCCCCTTGGGCAGCCTGTTCCAGTGCTCCATCACCCTCACCATAAAGAAGTTCTTGTGCGCATCTGTGCAGAACTTCCTATGCTGCAGTTTGTGGCTGTTTCCCCTTGTTCTGTCTCCACACACTGCTGAAAACAATTCGGCCTCACCACCCTGCCCCCCACACCTTAGATATTTATAGACCTGGATGAGGTCCCCTCTCAGTCTTCTTTTCTCGAGGCTGAACAGACCCAGTTCACTCAGCCTTTCCTCATAGGAGAGATGCTCCAGGCCCTTCACCGTCTTTATGGCCCTCCTCTGGACTCTTCCCAAGAGATCCCTGTCTTTTTTGTACTGGGGAGCCCAGAACTGGCCACAGTACTCCAGATGAGGCTTACAAGGGCAGAGTAAATGGAGAAGATCACCTCCCTCGACCTGCTGGCCACGCTCTTTTAAAGGCCATTGGCCTTTTTTGGCCACAAGGGCACACTGCTGGCTCATGACCAGATATTGAAGATAAAATCACTTCTAGCCCCACCCCATCGTACCTAATTTTTCAAACTGAGAAGGCATGTAACCTTAAACCTTTCTGGATTAAAGTTTTTCTGTAGTGTGCAGCATGTCCATGTCTTTTAGAACATCCAAACATCTGGCATGAAATGCAGCCATCTCTAGAGGTTTATTTTGCAATCACCTGGTGTCTTTCTCTGTGATACCACTGTACTAAGGCAGACCTTAATTATGCAGTAATTCAGTGTAATTACAAAGGCTTTCAGAAATACCATTGCTCATTTCATAGTTTGCTAATAACACTGTACTCCACAATGCTTTGTATAAAACCTAGCACCACAGACTGCCTGTAGGTGTCAGTGAAACCTAACTGCTCAGTTCTCTGGAATTGTAGTTTTGGTATCCTTGAAATGCTGATCCTACTGATTTTACCAGAAGGGCTGAATGCCAGCACTGGAGATGTACTTCAGTAATTCCAGGCAGCAAGCTTCAGATGCACAAGACTTAAACATTATAAGGCCAAATTTTGATGGGTAGCTACTGGGAAGGGTTGTAACAGTGTGTTCTACTTATATCCCGTGTTGCTGTTTTCTTCCTTCTAGATCATTATATTGAAGTCCTTGCATGCAAAGTGCAGTGTGAAAGTAATCTGACACCCATTATAGGAGGCTTTGTTGTTGAGAAATTTGTGGCCACCATGTACCATTACTTACAGTTTGCGTATTATAAATGTAAGTAGTGATTTAGTGGACTTACATAACGTTGGGATGATGTGGGAGAGGTTCCATTCCTTGTCTTTTTATGGTTTGGAAATAAATAGTGATCTCCATAATCTGCATTTTTGCCTGTGCTGGGGCTGTAAGTCTGAGATGCTCCATATCATTTTCTCAGTATATAACTGTAGACATGGGAGATGAGCATGTTGGATCCCTGGATCATAAAATTGTTCAGGATAAAGTGAATTTCCAAACATAGAAGTTGAATTCTGCCCAGGAAATCCGTTTGTTTTAAGATATTTTTGCTTGTGACTGATCTCTACTTGAGTGCTGGAAAGTTGTGACAGTTACAGAGCAAGTGTGATCTGACATATCACCACCCCTCATTCTGTACCTGCTGCCAGCACAATTTACTTGCACTTTTCAGAATTTCATATAAACATTAAATGTTCACCATATGTATTTTATGATAAAATATGTAATACACCAGCTCTTACACCTTTATGAAGCAATTCATAATATGACATCTTAGGGTAAATAGTGTCAGCCACTTCCTATACACTAGAATGCATGCAGTGGCACTGATGGATTCTATACACGTATGTAGAAATAAAAAAGAGGTGACCAAGCTTTTGGACCCACGTGGTTAAGCAGCTGAACTTCTAACAAGAACTTTATTCTTAAATTTCTTACTTATTCATTAAGAGAGAATCATAGAATCATAGAATCACTCAGTTTGGAAAAGACCTTAAAGGTCATCAAGTCCAACCACAACCTAACCATACCACCCAAACTCTAACAACCCTGCACTAAATCACGTCCCTGAGCACCACATCCAGATGGTTTTTAAACACATGCAAGAATGGTGACTCAACCATCTCCCTACGGAGCCCATTCCAGTGCTTAACAACCCTTTCTGTAAAGAAGTTTTTCCTGATATTCAACCTAAACTTACCCTGGTGCAACTTGAGGCCATTTCCCCTCATCCTGTCACCAGTGAGAAGAGACCAGCCCTGCTCTCGCTGTAAACACCTTTCAGATATTGGAAGAGAGCAATAAGGTCTCCCCTCAGCCTCCTTTTCCCCAGACTGAACAGACCCAGTTCCTTCAGTAAGAAAGATTGTGACCTCAAGGTAACACACTTAACAAAGCTGTACCTACTGAATGAATACTAAATTCTCAATTTATTATTCAGAATTTCTGCCAGAGACAAACCTGCAGAGTATTTCATACCATTCTCCTTTTCCTAGTGGATTCTCATAGTCTCATTAGAATAGAGCACATGAGGCTCCATGCATTTTAAAGAAAGAGAGGACCACATAGCAAACAGAAATGATAGTGTTCTGGTGCTCAGTGCTTATTCATTTTGATAAGTACATCATTCAATGAATTTTGTGGTTTTTTGGGGAACTTCCTGCATTGCTAAGAACATATTTAGCCCTTAGTGCTGCTCTTCCCGGCTCCAACACCAAGGGAAAGGCACAGCCAAGCCATTAATGACTTTTGCGTGTTTTTATGCCTAAAAATATTGACTCTTCCATCTTTGTCAATCCAAGTAAAATGAAGTGGATTTTTAAAAATTTGTTTATTTGTTTCTTTAAGAAGTCCCACAGTACGCATCTCCAAGCTGTGGGTTGATGCCTCACTGGTTCTGTAGCTGGGAGAGACATTTGGTTAGGATTATCTTAGAAAACCACCATGAGAAAATAATGCCATAGGAAAACTATCTTCTGTGTTAATGGTAAGTTATCCCCATTTTCCCTACAAAGAAGAAGGTAGTTCTTAGGGAAGCCAAGTAATTTGGATTGCTCTCGTTATTGACTCCTGTAGCCATAAGCTTTTGTCAGGTAAATCTCCATTTCTGAATCATGACCTTACCTGTTTCATAACATAAAAATAGCATATTCTGCTTTGGAAACCTTTTTTTTTAATGTATGTTTAACGCAGATGGTGGAAAGGTGGCAATATGTTTTTGGTTATTTACCTCGTGTGGGTTTGTTTCTCTGTCTATTAATTAGTGAATGACATGAAGAATGCAGCCTCTTGTGCTGCTAGTTACCTTCTCTTTGACCAGAAAGATGAAGTAATGAAACAGAACATGGTCTATTATCAATACCACAAAGACAAATGGGGACTTCAAGAAGAGGATTTTCAGCCCAGATCAGTAAGTGAATTTAGTGCCTTTTCTTTTTCTTAGGGCATGACTTTCCCATGTAAGAGTCATTTAAGTTATCCAAGCTGCATCAACAGCAGGCATCCTTTAGGCTGATGATCAAGTCGTTCTTCCCGAGTTGCTTGTTCAGACACCTGAGTCACTGAGGCCAGTGCTGGCCCAAAGGCACCCCTCAGTTCTTAGTGTGGCATTAAGCTCATATATCTGTGCATTGCTTAGGTGACTTGCTTTATCTGTAGCAACACTGCAGAGCAATTCATATGTATACCTTATAAGTTATAATAATTTGGTAATGAATGTAATAATTAATGAAATAATTTGATAATGCTTTCCTTCCTCTTAGGCCAGCCAACTCAAGTAAAAAATACCACTCCGTGTGTTAAGCATTTTTTGTTTGTGGGCAGCTGTCAGGTTATGTGCAACACAGCTTATTCTCATGCTGGAAACCAAGGCTGTGCTGCAGGACTAGCAGAAACAGAATACAGAGAAAATGCATTTGGTTCTTTCAGGCAGCAGCTGTGAGTCTGAGTTCACGCAGGAAAGAGACCATTCTTTTGCTGCTGTTGTTGGGAACAAAACTGTGCTTTGTAACCATACTGGAGACAATATTTGACGTTGGTGGGAGTGAGGGGTAGCAGCAGTTTAAAACTGCAGACCACAAACAGATTTGGCGTCCATGTGCAGAAAGGACAGAACAAGGGCCCTACACAGTAACTGTGAATGTTTCATTGATAACTTCTCAGGAGCTGGGGCTACAGATAATTTAATTTTTAAATATTAAATATCAAATGTATACAGCTGTATTTTCTTGTACTTTGATCTGTCTTGCTATGAAAAGAAGTTGCTTGCTGTCCTAATCACTTGCCCCAAAAACCATAATGTCTCAGGTTTATTTTCACAAAGTGGTACCAGAGTGACAGCAGCATTTAACTCTGAGCTTCAGATGTCCTTGTGGAAGGGAAAATCTCCTGTTTTCCTCCCTGAAAAGAATTAAATGGAATAGTCAAATTATATTACTGGTGGTATTCACAGTTCTGAGAGTGGCAGCTACCCTGTGCTGTCCAGGCAAACACCCAGGGAACTGAGGGACAGGTAGGTAGATGACCATACAGAACTTCCCACTCCCAGACAGGCTGGGCTGGTGAGTCATTACAATGCAAAATACCTCAGTGTCTCTTTTTCCCAGAACTGCCTGCCGCCTTATGCCAGCGCATAAGGAGATGGAAGCTTTCTCATATCCAAAGCCCACTGGAATGCAGGCGCAGGCTGCTTGCTGCTTGGCTCTGGCAGTCTCATTCCTTATCCTCAGACTCGCCAATGCTTTGAAACATGAGAAATAGGAGAGTGCTTTGTTCTTCTCACACCGGTGGAGCTTACGCTTAGTAGGATCCGCAGAAGACATTGGATATGCTGTATGCTGTTCTGCTGTTTCCTTTCTCAAACATTTTAAATCCTCTGAGACCTGCCTTCTGCTAAATCTGGGTCTAGCTTCACTTGAATAGTTCTAGATGACATGTGATGACACTCCTCCGTCTTACTACCTTCAGGTAACATAGAAATTTAATATATTTTTTTTTCTGTAGGATGCAGTTAGATATCACAACATAACCACACTCCAGTTGGAAATGTATGAATTTGCAAAGGAACATCTAATGGATGATGATGAGGTGAGTTTTCTAGACAGAAAATCGTGATTTGAAAAAGCCAAACCCGAATAACAGTAATTACATTAAAATAAGTAATTAGAAATCCAGGCTTTCTGTACTATAGAGAAGTTGTTCTGGTAAGTGTGACCAATTTATCATAATTTTTTCTTTTGTGAATGAATACAGGAAACAAACCCAAAGAGCAGTAGACCACTCACATCACATTTTAAAGCAAGGGTAATTATAATGCACTCAGCCCCCAAAAGGAAATTAATTTTGCAAGCTGTAACACCAGGGGGCAGAGAAGTTGTATGTGTATTTAAACCAAACATTTTTCTTTTTCTTTCTGAAACATTGTTTAAGGTATATTTTAAAATTCTCATGATTTTGTCCAGAAGTCCCTACCTGAACTATCATTTTATCACAGGGACGTCCTGTTACCCCTTATTTTCTTTTTCACTGTAACATTTTGGTTACCCAGTCTTGCATCTGAAATGGTTGGAATTCATGGCCCAGTAACATATAGTGACTAATATTAGGCTTGAAACTTGTAAAGTGGTTTTCTTGTGTGGAAAAGGTAGTTAAACTGTTGAAAGATCATTTCTTTGTCTCCATCAGTTCAAGCATGTCATGAATTTGAGTTGCATCTTGTTTTGTTTTCAGTACCTTTCATTTTAATGTTTAAAAAATGTTTAAATGATTAAATACTTCGTTGCTGGCATTGTCAAAGCAGTGTGTTCAGTCATGGCACGGGGCAGTATACTTGTGAACAATGCTACAGTGTTTTTTAGTTACAATCAGAAAGAAAAGAAACAGTTTATGTTATAAAATTTTATCATGTTTTCACTTTTTATTTTATCCAGCACATAGGTAGAGATAATATTTCATAGGGGAGAAGTAATAATATGTCTATACTGCCTTCAGTATGCTGGTGACCTGAAAACAACTCTTTATGTAAAATTCCATTACAAGGTTATGAGATGATAGGAAGACTGCTAAGTCTTTCCATTATAATAAATGTCTCTGAAGGACAGTTTAATATTCTCATTATATGGTTAAGCTTAGATGAGAACTAGTCTATATGGGTTTCCAGTCAGGGTGTGTAAATTCTTGTGTGCTTTTTTATATTCCCTTGTTGTTTTGGGCAAACACTCTGCTGTGTTCATAATGTTTTCTTATGGTAGACATAAACTTCATTTGTAATTTTTTCCTTCTTTCACATCTGCTGCTCCAAAACAAAGGGATGAGTAATTAAGGAAGGAGGAATGCGGTCTATTTTGAAGACTTTCCCTGTATGTTGTTAGAAGAGGGAATTATAAACACAGTCTTCAATCTCAAGCTATTAATACAAGGAAAAAAAAAAAGTTTGTTGGCTTTGGTTCCTGTAGTCCATTTCACGAGTGCAATAATAAATGACCTTGCAGTCTACAGAAGGGCTGTACGGTGGAAACGTCAGTTAAACATCTGGGGAAGTGTCAAGGAAGTGTCATTATCTGGGCTACATTTGGGCTAAACAAACAGAATTAGCGGGCCTGGCCGTGCCACCTACATCCTTACCTCACACTCTTCATATTAGAAAAATTATCGTTTTCATTTCCTGGAGAAAAGCTGAAGGGCTTCTGTGCTCTCCCTTAACAGGACCGAAGAACCTAGGAGAGATGGAGGCTGTCCATGCCTCTGGCTTGGCTCTGGATTTTGGTAGTGAACTCATAAATCCCTGGCTACCAAAGCTTCTTCTTGGCTGCAGGAGCCTTCCAGGGAGTCCAGACAGAGCAGGAATAGCACAGAGATAAAATCGCTACCTTGTAGTTTTTGCTGCATGGGCAGGGCACGGTAGTATAAATGGAATATTTTTTAATATTTCTACTGGCACAGATAGAAAAGTTTATTCCATGGGAATGCGGAAAACTGATGAAAAACTCAGATAAAGTGTTACAGTAAAAGCTTTATTCAAAATTGTCAAGGAGGGAGGCAACATCTTCTAGTGGACGCAGTTCTTTCAAACCACTTGATCCATAGACTGTGCCTTTTGTGAGTTTCTGTGCTCCATCTTTGCTGTCTGTGGGCTCTGTGTTGCTGCTGGGCCAACAAACCTGTAAAATAATCAAAGGAAAAAAAACGTTCTCTTTCTTTGAGTGAAGCTAGAGGATCTCTTTATGTATGTCCTTATTCTTAAATGGAGAGTCTTACTTTATTCAAACTTAACAGTGCCCCTATATTTCAGATCATCCATGGGTCTTTTTAAATCCCATTAGCAAAGCAAGCGAGAACTTGTGGCTTCTTCCAGTAATACATTGCAGTAATGACAGAGGCTGGAACACATAGTAATGATTTTTGCATATGATGCTACAAGAAACACTGTCCTGTTCGTGTTACTTTATTAATGTTTTTCCACAAGGAAATGAAAAACTTTAGTTCAAACATTTAACACAATAGAGGTGACAGAGAATATTAGCACCAACAAATAATTTTTTCTTAAAAGTAATTATTAAATATCCTTAAAGAGTTTCCACAGCGAAGCTAACAGAGCATTACACGGTGTTGTCATCTTAGTTGCCTGTAGATAATCAAGCTTCTTGATTTCTGCTCAGCTGTGTAACACATAAAAGCTCTAATAGTTTTAACTCCCAGTTCTGCACAGATGTAAATAACAAAATGAGCCATTAAGAGCCAGATATTCAGCTAGTGCAGATATAACTTCAACATTACACTAATTACAGGAGACAAGTTTCTGGCGCATAGATTCAGTGTTCTTGAGGACTTGGTTTTTTTTTTTTCAGGGATAGCTACTTACCTATTCAAAATTACATAGGAACCACAAATATTTGGCTAAGATGATCCAATAGTGTCATTTTTCTTTCAGTACATAATCAGTAGGTGAAAAATTGTTGGCAGCCCTGGTCCATTTGTTGTGGTTTTTTTCTTTCTTTCTTTTTGGCATCCTGCTCTTCTTCATTGTTGATCGTGTGCCCTTCCACCTGTACAACAGCTGAGACTTAGATGTTTCATGCCTAGATATGATGCAGAGGAGTGTGAGTGCTGAACTAATGAGTGGTGGAAAGACATGGAATAGCATCAAGGCAGGAGTGCCCAGTAGACTACTGGTTGCAAATTATAACCTGAATTCAGCCTATTTTTCTGTTCAGAAATCACTGACAACATAATTTTGCTTTATTAACTCACATTTTATATATTTTCAAATGATTTATACAAGTGTGCTCATAACAGCAAGTTGTAAATGTGGATGTGTAAACCCTGCCCTGACCTCAGACCTACACAGCTACAACAGCATGGCTCTACTGATAAAAGCTGGTGGCAGCTGTTTAAGAGAGAAGTTGTAGTTAACTGAGGTTGTTATGGACCCTGTTCAATATCAGTTTTTAAAGAAAAAAAGAGATTATTTTTCATCACTGTTTTCTATTGGAGATCCTGCCTCTCTTCAGAAGTGTCTTTTCCCTCTTGCTGTTTTACCACTGAAATTACACTGCAGTCTAAGTAATTTCTCCTTCCATTTAAATCAGCTACAATGGGAAGCTCATTAGGGCTTAAGTGGCAGGATTAGATAAGAAATTGAGAAGAACTTTTACCTGCACCAATTTGCTTAAGGCTCTGTGTACAAAAGAAAGTGGCAAAAAGAGCATAAGCCGAGTTTAGAAACAAAGCCACTAGAAGACTTTTGTTTTCAGTGCAGCGGGAGCAGTGTTTTCTAGTTGCTTTGAAATTGAATTGACTCATGTTTTATAGGCATAACAAAAATGTTAAGAGGAAAGCACGCTTATTAGATTACTGTAAAATATTGTAATCACTGCAGTGTACTGCAGTCTCCCACAATATATCGGGAGAGAACAATTTATGTTCAGAATATGCAATAAAAAATGAAATGGAAAAATATTTGAAAGAAGCAGTTAACACAGACATAGGGAATAATTAAATTCTTTTAAAATTTAAAAAAAAAAATCACTAAAAGCATATGACAGTGGGTCAAACTGTTGACTGAGCATCTGAAATATAAACAAGTGAAGGGCCAAATTATTTTTCTGAGGAAATAATTGAGGGGTTTTTTTCCCTGCTAGAATGCAAGGAATGTCAAGTCTGGCCTTTAGTGCTCATAGAGAACCTGGAAAGTGGTTACACTGAACTCTCATGTTTTAACTGAAGGTTAGATCAAGGAACTTTTTCGTGATTGAAGGCTGAATAAAGCTTTCAGGCACCACGGCTGAGCCACTTATTGACACATGCATTACTGTTATCCTGAAATAATGCTCCATCCAAAATATCAAGAGCTGGTTGGCTACATGCAATGAGTTTACAGCATCCCTCAGGCCTGCAAAGCACATCTTCCACAGTCAACCATATCAAAGCTTTGTCTTTCCTCTTGCAAAATAGTTATTTGTCCTTGAAGACTTAAGAAAAAAGGACAAAATCTGCTGGTCTTTGTGAATTTAACAGTGTTGCTGTTCTCATTAATTACTCAAATTAGTTAGGGAGTTTGAGGATACTTACTCCTAACTTTCAGGGCAGCCCCTGGCCTCTTGTCACAGAGAAACTTTCCTGCTACTGTAACATAGACACCTACACCTGATACATAAGAGAATCAAATTCGTTAGTCTCACTAACAAGTTTTCAGTAATTACTCTTTTTCCAACTTTTGCCAAATCCAATTTATTTTTTTTTTTGGCTGGGAAAGACACTCGGGGGATGTTTTGTCAGATAAGTATTTTCCTTTTAGGTCACAGATTATAAGGAAACAGAGATCTAGGCAATTCTTTCTCCGCATATTGTCTCTTCAGTCTCAGTTTCTGAGATTGGTGAGAATAAAGGCTTTTGCTTTCTCGTCCACTGATACCAGTCAGGCATGAGTTTATGTCCATAACAGTATTTTTCTGTAGATCTGAACTCATTCTAGGAAGCCATTATGTTAATATTCTGTTACTTCCCTAGGGAACAGGCTATTGCACTGCACTACATATGGAATCCCTATACAAAATGCCATCAGCTAATCTGCAAGGAAAGTGTGGGTT